ACCAACACACACACACACCCTGGCTCTGCTCCTCTTCATCGCCCGCGGCCCCGGCTCTTCGTCCTCACTCAGGCCGGGGAGCAGCAGCTGCAGGGCGGCCGTCTGTGCCTCAGTGTGTCGGTGAGTCCGTTCTTCACCTCCGTTCTTCTCCTCTTGCTCCTTTATCTCCTCCCTGCCGTCGCAGCATCATCACCTCCTCCTTATTCTCCTCCGAGCGTGTGCGCGCTCCCGTCCGCCGGAGGTAGATGCTCGTCTCGTGCACTATTCGACGCGCAAAGACGACGAGGCTGGTCTACTTTCAGCAGAGCAGCGCCCTCTGTTGGCAAAAACGAAAAATATTCAAATACAGAAAAAAAAAGATGAAGTTCATGAAATATTAAAAGAAAAAAAAATAAGAAAAAGAAACCCAAAAATAAATACAAAGGTCGATCAATTATTTTTAATTTACAATAAATTCAACAAAACAACAAAAAATGTCCCTGGTTTGATTCCCTCACTGTGTGACTGAGATTTTCTTGTTGAAACAGGTGAGTGTGGAGGTCAGACAGATGGAGGAGGAGGAGGAGACCGACGCAGTTCCAGCAGCTGAAGAACCTGGAGTCTCCCTCGTCTCCTCAGAGTCCATGACTGTCCTAACTGCAGGTCAGAGGTCGTCAAAGGCTCATTAACTAACGACCGAAGTGACCGACGTGGTTGACCCCACAGATTTGGAAAAGTAGACACAGCAGAAAACATTTATATTATATACTATCACAAATCTCGCAGTGAAACAAAGTATTTGTAAATATATATAAATAACGAGGGCGGAATCCGACGGAAAGTCGACTTTTTTTATTGATCTGTGACACAAAACGACGGCAACATTTTCACAACATTTCACCAAAACAGAAACCACATCATCTCAGTGTCCTTTTTTTTTTTTTTTTAGATCCGCTCCGTCGCCGCGCTCCACTTGGAAGGCGACGTTGTTGATCGTTTATCGATTCAGCGTCTGTGGCCGTGGTGAGTCCTTCCTGTCGGCCTGTCACCGCTGTGACCCGTCGCTGACATCACTTCCTCCAGAAATCTGGAACATGGGGAGAGAGAGAGAGACAGGTGGAGGTGAGGAGGGGGGGGTCAGGCCTTCACAGGTGTGTGTGTGTGTGTGTGTGTGTGTGTGTCCAAACGTACGTCTTGGTGTTGTGGACGCTGCTTCCTCCCAGGACGATGCGAACGCCAGGTGAAGAACGGTTCATGTTGTAAACAGTCAGAGCTTCTTCATACGTGGCTCCACCAATAAGGAACAGGATGATGTCCTGAGGTCTACACACACACACACACACACACACACACGCACACACACACAAACAAGATTCTTTCAGCTCTCAAGAGAACATACATTTATAAGACATATTTGTGTCTCTGTCCCTCACCTGACTCTAACCTTTCTCTCTCTTTCTGTCTCTTACCCCTCCCTCCCTTGTCTCCCCCTCACCCGCCTCCCCCGTCTCCCCCGTCTCCCCCGTCTCACCTGTCTCTGAGGCTGCTGGCTCCCAGGTAGGGGAACTGACTGTCCTTCAGCCGTCCTTTGATCAGCTGGTCCAGCGTGTCCTGCAGCAGCGGCTGGTGCTGAGTGTAGACGTTCTCCACACCCTGAAACACACACACCCATGTTACTCTGTGTGTGTGTGTGTGTGTGTGTGTGTGTGTGTGTGTGGGATGGTGACAGCCGGTGTTTTTCTCCTTC